GGGGGGGGGGGGGGGGGGGTGGAGTTGGCACTAGGACCATTGTCAAGTCTGGAATTTGGGGTTTCATCACGATGATGGAACTCCATAGATTACGAAGAACTAATAAATGATGGATGTATCCTTTCAATATCAGAGATTTGAACGTACCGCCATGTATGTTTCATACATACAGATGTGTTTATAGATGTCTATTCTAATTTAAGTGTAAATGTTACGCCTATTCATGAGCAGGAACCCTCCGTCATTAACCACCAACCAAAAGAACCCCCTCTATTTTGAATTTTCAGAATTCTATATTCACCTTCGACTGGATTCTGCTTATAAGATCTGAGAAAAATAACTAAAAAGCTTAGAATTCTGAAAGATGAGATCATGATCAGACCTTATCTCTCTCCATAGTTATTAGAAGGTATAAGATTTTCCATTTGCCTTTTACTTTAACAGACCAATATGTGCAGGTGAGATTGTTTGTTTTTTGTTGTTCTTGATATTTTGCAAATAGGCAGTTATTTGTTTTTTATGTGACGAAAAAGTTTTAAAATACTTAATATTGTAAGTGGGGTTGTACGCACTGCATGTCAGTTATCGGACAGTGGAATACATGGCAGCATGGTTCTTAGTCAGCTGAAGTACTTTTGAGTTTATGATTATCGGATTAATGGAATATTATTGACAGGAGGAGCTTTATAACAAACAAACCTTCAACATGTCTAGGGAGTCCATTGTAAAACAAGTCACGAAACTGGCGGCCAGGGCAGTTGGAAATTCATATTATTCCGCAATTGAAGCTGCTTTTAATGACAGGGAAACTGATCTCCTCACAAGGGTTTCCTTCAAGGTAAGATGGAAGATTACTCTATAGGTGGAATGGTGGTCATGGTTTTTGCCACTCACTTCATAATCACACCGAGTCTTGCTTTAGTTGATTCTTCATCATCACTTCTAGATGTCCTATTCATGCGGGTCTTCTTTATTCTACAGTATGGCTGTACCAGAGGGGTATACGGGACGCCTTTTTTCTTTGTAAATGGATTTTCGCTACCTGATGCTGATCCGGCTCGTGACTATGACGGATGGAGAAGTGTCATCGACCCACTGATTGGCAAAAAGGGCATGGAAACAGGGGACCCTGTACATTTCTTCTAATTAATACTTGATCTTTGCATATCACTCTGTTGTCTTTGTTTTTTTTTCATTTCATGTAGTTAGTTTAATTTTGTTTGTTTAAAAGTGTAAACAATGTGAGGGATATCCGACCCGATTAATGATATATTGCTCAAGAATCATAGCACACTTGAATATTTGCAGCAGAAGTTTAAATTCTTGAGAAATTTGGTGCGCAAACTGTTGATTTAATCACGGCAGATGATGAAAATTGGCCAAAGGCGGTGCTATTCCGCTTTAAACCCAGAAAGCTTGGCAGGTAAGACCAATCGATCATAGTAATGGACATAATCGTTCCAAGTTGGAGGGCAATAGGACAAAATCCAGACTTACTGGCCTGATCTCAAAGTTAGTTTAAGTGGTAACAGAGACGAGTTATAAATTTAGACGTCATGAGTTTGAATTTTGACAATCTCTTTAAGTTAGATAATGAGAAATTTATTTCTCATGAATATTTTGATTTCGGTGTGGATGGTTTGTTGTTAATTTCACTAGAGAGAAGATTAGTGGAGATGTGCATAAGTTGATTTAGACATCTTTAATCATTGAAAAAAAAAAAGACCTAGTAGTGTATATGAATGCAGGGCTTCTAAAGGATGTTGTCTCCAAATTATCAAACATGATAGACAAGCATTTTGAAATCGTGATACATTGATTTACCATTTTTTTTTCCAGCTATATGCAGAGACTTATAAAACTGGCGATAAAATTGTTCTATTATAACTAAGGCTACAGATTTGAGTCGCATAAATAAACTCTCCTCGTGTGGGATTAAGGTTATCAATATATATTCTTCCTCACACTTTGAAATGGTAAGTCTAGTGCCCGTACTTCTAAGTTCTATCTAGAGATTGTCAAAAGTGATAGTAGTGACAATAGAAGCAATACTGCTCTCAGACCATCTCGAAGGGAGATGTTGGACAATTCTAACATCTTTTTTGGGCATTCTCTGGTCCTTCAACAGAAGTGTCAAATGTTGACTGGGCAAAATAACATTTGGCTTATTGCCAAATTTAACATATTTCATCTCTCATGCCAAATTCAATATTTTATTGAATAAATATAATTTGAAATTATATTGTTCGGCATATTTCAACTTCTTACCACCATTTTAGCCTTTTGAAATGTTATATAGGGGAACACGTTCTCAACTCCGAGTTGATTTAGTTGAGCACTTGTGGCATTGTCATGGGGGTAGCACTACCATATAATCTGATTAAAATTTATGTTTTGGAATTATACTTTTAATTATTTTTTTGAAATTTGTATTAATTAATTTTAACGAGAATTTTAATTTCAATAAAATATATACTACTTTTTCATATAAAATTTATAAAATTTTTATTTTAATTGATCTCAAATTTTATTTTAAATACATATATTAAATTAATATAAGTAAATATTTTTAAAGATAAAAATTGGATAAAATAAATTATTTTGATATATTAATTAGAATGTAAGGCGAAGATGTCAAATTGTCACATAGATCTTTAAATTTAAATTTGATATATAACATTTGACATCTCCCTTTAGATGCTCTAAGACGCCATATATTTTTCACCTACTCCACAAAAAATAATACTCTTACATTTTTTGGCTCAAATTTGATAAATTTATTTATAATAGAATACATAATTATTATTGAACTATTAGTAATTCTTACTATTCGACTAAATTCATTGTCAATGATTATAATGAACCATATCATTAAATCAATTCCTAGTGACATTAGATAGAGTAAATTAGATACGAATAATATTATTAGTTGAATTCTTCGTATCTTAAATTGTCGAACTCTCACTGGTCTAGTTAGCAATAAATTATTGAACATAATAGTAATACTATATCACTATTGATACGTACTATCACCATTTAATAACAAAATCAACGTATAAGTAAGTGGATCCTATTTGATTTAATAACTACTCTATCAATGTATGAAAGTAATAATCAAGTAAAGTTCATTTTGCTTAATTGTAAGTTTATTATTGAATGATGACACTATGTGACAAGAACAACCTAATGTGACAATTACACCTAATTTTTAGTCATAGATTGCCCGCCCCTATCAAAAGAGTCTATAAACCTTCAGGGATACTTCAAGTGGTAATAAAGAATATGTTATAAATTTAAATATTTTTATTTGAATTTTGACAATTTTTTACTCCCAAACTATGAGAAATTTATCCTCATAAGTAATTAGTCATCGCATAAATAGTCTATCTTTAATTTGATTGGATAAAGGTTAATTGAAATGTGCATATAAGAGGACACTCGCCGAACGTTTAGAACAAAAAAAAAAAAACTGCACAACTTTAGGCCCCAAACAAAACCGAGTCAAAGTAACCGGCCCGACCGGTTGGACAGGTCTAGGGCAGCTTCGAAACCACTGCTATAAATATTTGGAACCTCAGAGCGAGGCGGTTAGGGCGTGAACGTAAAAACGAAGCCGAAGAAGAGGGCTCTTTCTTCGTGGAGCTTATTATCTTATCCTTATTCGAAGAAGGTAAGACAATTTCCATATTCACATCAATCGAAACCTTGATTTTCCTCTATGTAATCCCTCGAACCCACTCTCTCTCTCTCTAAAACCAAACCCTAATATTTGTCTCTGTGCTTAAACTGGAACTTTAGGTTCGTTTGTTCTTTTGATATGGTCTCTCTTTTACTTTTGGTAATTTGTGGATGTTTTGGTGCAGAAGATGGATCGGTACCAGAGGGTTGAGAAGCCAAAAGCGGAGACACCGATTGAAGCCAATGAGATCCGGATTACGAGTCAGGGGAGGATGCGAAGTTATATCACTTATGCCATGAGTCTGCTTCAGGTTTTCCTTCAATTTCTCTCATTTTATCGTCGCCTTCTCAAAACTTTTTTCCCCTATGATAACTCTTAAGGATTTGATAGTCGTGCTAGCATGTAGCTGTCGAATTTCTGGATATCGATTTAGATTTGGGGAATTTGTTTTTAAACTGAAAAATTGGGGAATTTAAATGATTTTCTTATGAGACTTATTTGGATGAATGCTTATGAATATGAGTCCTATGTTATTCAATAAAGGTCGCAGCGGTTGTGCTAGCTATGTTCATTGACCTGTATGCCAGTTTTTTCCCTGGTTTATTTAGTGGTATTTATTGACAAGAAGAGCTTTGAATATAATGGCGAATTTGGCGAAATAAATATGTTATCAACCATGTCTAGGTATGTTTCTTACTGATTGGGTTTATTTCTTAAACACTTCATGATATCAAGATATGTTTGACTACTTAGGCTGGAGTACTACAGGTGATTGTATCATACACATTTACAGGTTGATACCATTAATTTTGGACAGCTTTGTGATCATGATTTGGAGAGTCTGAGTAAAAAGGTTTTGAAGTACTGTTTAATCCTTTCANAAAAAAAAAAAAACTGCACAACTTTAGGCCCCAAACAAAACCGAGTCAAAGTAACCGGCCCGACCGGTTGGACAGGTCTAGGGCAGCTTCGAAACCACTGCTATAAATATTTGGAACCTCAGAGCGAGGCGGTTAGGGCGTGAACGTAAAAACGAAGCCGAAGAAGAGGGCTCTTTCTTCGTGGAGCTTATTATCTTATCCTTATTCGAAGAAGGTAAGACAATTTCCATATTCACATCAATCGAAACCTTGATTTTCCTCTATGTAATCCCTCGAACCCACTCTCTCTCTCTCTAAAACCAAACCCTAATATTTGTCTCTGTGCTTAAACTGGAACTTTAGGTTCGTTTGTTCTTTTGATATGGTCTCTCTTTTACTTTTGGTAATTTGTGGATGTTTTGGTGCAGAAGATGGATCGGTACCAGAGGGTTGAGAAGCCAAAAGCGGAGACACCGATTGAAGCCAATGAGATCCGGATTACGAGTCAGGGGAGGATGCGAAGTTATATCACTTATGCCATGAGTCTGCTTCAGGTTTTCCTTCAATTTCTCTCATTTTATCGTCGCCTTCTCAAAACTTTTTTCCCCTATGATAACTCTTAAGGATTTGATAGTCGTGCTAGCATGTAGCTGTCGAATTTCTGGATATCGATTTAGATTTGGGGAATTTGTTTTTAAACTGAAAAATTGGGGAATTTAAATGATTTTCTTATGAGACTTATTTGGATGAATGCTTATGAATATGAGTCCTATGTTATTCAATAAAGGTCGCAGCGGTTGTGCTAGCTATGTTCATTGACCTGTATGCCAGTTTTTTCCCTGGTTTATTTAGTGGTATTTATTGACAAGAAGAGCTTTGAATATAATGGCGAATTTGGCGAAATAAATATGTTATCAACCATGTCTAGGTATGTTTCTTACTGATTGGGTTTATTTCTTAAACACTTCATGATATCAAGATATGTTTGACTACTTAGGCTGGAGTACTACAGGTGATTGTATCATACACATTTACAGGTTGATACCATTAATTTTGGACAGCTTTGTGATCATGATTTGGAGAGTCTGAGTAAAAAGGTTTTGAAGTACTGTTTAATCCTTTCATTTTGGTTTATCTTTTAGTTTGTTAGTATAGCTTTTTGCATGCTTCCATATATACGTTGATTGACTTTTGGACTCAATGTGCATCCATAGCTTGTAGGCTTGTAGCTCCCTTTTTATATACTTTCCTTGTGTGTTTAAGAGATGTCCCAGCAAAATTACCTGTAAATATTCATCGCTCGTATAATCACTATGTGGGAGCCTCAAGATCTTGGGATAGTAAGAAATTTTGGAGTGTTGTGAATGCTCATCTCATTGGATGCCTTCCAATGTTAGACCTCCAAAAGTGATGATTCATGAACTGGGAAATCATCCCCATCTCTAAGAGGGATCCAAGTGGAACCTTATGGTTGAATTTTGCTTGGGTTGGATCAGTGCCTGGTGCATTTACCGAAGGAGATATTAGATGCTTGTTAATTTTGATGACTTTCCATGGCATACAATTCTTGATGTTTAGAGGTGCTTGATGTGGTGAACAAAGTCGTGGAAGGCTGAGGTAGAATCATTTTGGGTTGGTCCAAGAGCAATAAAATGTATACTTGTCTGACAGCGGGAGCAAGAGGTGGTATCATCTCCATACAGTTGGTGGGTAAAACTCGCCTGTGACAACTAATAATTAATTGCCCCTGGCTGCATTGCTGAATGCTTGGTTTATTTTGGGGTCTTCTGCTATTGGTATCGATTTTCTATTATGATGGATTCGCAATCCATTGCTTAAATATGTGTTTGATAAGTGAGTATATGCATATGTAGTCATATGTAGGATTGAATTTTGAGAAATATAATCGTACAACATAGTTATCGTGTTGCTAGAGGCGAGATTCTTGGAAGTCTTATTAACACCTACTTACCCAGGTATACTATAACTAGTAGTTTATTAGGGGACTAAGTATGATGTTAGTGAATATTCCTTATTCTCTTCCGTAAGGAGGCTGTTTTTTCTTCTTATTGGTTTACATGGTTTTTAGAGTGGATTATTCATTATGATTAATATTATTTGACATCTCGATGCGATACTTTGTAGGAAAAAGGTTCAACAGAAATTGTGTTCAAGGCAATGGGTAGAGCTATCAACAAAACAGTAACTATCGTGGAGTTAATTAAGGTTTCTCCATCCCTATGCTTATGCACTTGTTTCATCTATTACATGTGTAGTGCTTGATTACTGATGGTGATGGTATTGAGGATTGGTTGTTGTACTTGTATTGCAGAGGAGAATTATTGGTCTACATCAAATTACGTCAATTCAATCCACTGACATAACTGATATGTGGGAGCCCCTTGAGGAAGGCCTTCTCCCGTAAGAGCTCTTTGAACCTAAATTGGACAAGAAAGTGTTTGCATGTTTAAACTTTCATTATAGTTATTGGTCCCTCCTCTGGGATTACCTGATATTTTTTCTATTATCATATGGCTTTTACAAGTAAGTTTGTTGTTGCTGCAGCCTGGAAACCACTAGACATGTTTCTATGATCACCATTACTCTCTCAAAGAAGGAGCTGGATACGTCATCTGTTGGGTGAGTTAGATTTAGTACGATTATCCTTGGCACTTGCTGGTATAAATTTTACGTAGGAACAGTATGGAGCTCTTAGGCAGTGTATTTGATTACTAAAAACTAAAAAGTGATTTAAATGTTCTGTTTTTTTCCCAGGTTTATTTGATATCACTGAGCAGTGACTTCCTGTTTTTATCTCATAATGTGACTCTTGGCTTTAGTTTTTGTATTAGAGACAAGGAAAAGCAAAAATGTTAGAGATCTTGAAATTTATTCCTATGCAGGCTTCTTGCTTTTCTTTTCTTTTCCATGAATATAGAATTTTGGGACCCCTAGAAATTACGAATGGAGATGCAAAATATCTCTTGAGAGATTTTGTAGTTACAATTAATAAGAAAACCATACCTTTTCTTTTGTATCTTGTTACATGCAAGTATATTGGGGGAGGACCATGTGCCCACCAAAGTGTGCCCCATGGTGATGAACATGTGAGTCGACTGGAGGAGTTACAATGTGGGGGGCCTGTGGGGTCATCTGAGTTTGATGCCCCTCTGGTGACTAGTGTTCTATTTTAGTATTGCAAATGAATTCAAGCCAAATTAAATGCTCATGATTTATAGTCATGCATTGCTATGTCATGCAGCTATCAGCCTCCTTTACCAGCTGACATGGTGAAAGTGTCAACGGAATTTGATTATGAAGGAGGTACTGTGATATGCTATCATGCGCACTTTTGTTTTCAAGTTATTATTCATGACAGTATCCATTATGATATGTTTTGATCATGCAGAAAGATCACCCACTGGTCAAAGGGGACGTGGTGGTAGAGGACGGGGAAGGCCTAGAACTTTTTCTGGTACGAGACCTGATTTAATTTGCTTTTACTGTGCCTTTAATTTGGAAAATATGGTTGGTAACTTGAGGAAGGTCTGCAACACTATTGAGCTTTGATGGGATTAATGTTTCACTGGAAGTTGGTCCATACCTGATGGCTCAGCCTGTGATCGCTTGATAACCCTTATATGAGGAATAGAAGGAGAGGGAGAGTAAGGGAAGGATACATTTCCTTTAGTGGGAAGAAATAAGGAGAATGTACTCTTACTCTCTCATTCTACATAAGTATTTTGAGTGCACATGTTGCGTGCTTTTCCTTAGTATTTATCTAACTTCAAATATGGCTAAGTTATGGTTTTGTGAGTTGGACTAGGTCAGAAATGGAATCCGTTGAAATTTGATTGACCAAGGCTGTGTTGGTTTTGATTCGGTGACACATCTATAGTTCTTATTTTAATGGATGGAAATTGCATTTTATTACAGGGAACGGCTTCGCCTCTTCTGAATACGAAGATGGGGGTTACAATCGGGGCTATGCCAGGGGTAGAGGTCGAGGAAGAGGTCGTAATTTCCATGGCCGTGGAAGGGGATGGTACAATGGTCCTCCGATGGATACCCGCCAAGATGCAGGAGACTACAACCAAGAAGCACCTTATCGGGGCCGAGGTATCAGATCAATATTTTTTTGTCTGGATTAATGAGAATGTGCTGTTATGCAACATTTTTGGGGGGATTGTCGTCTGTAACCCCTCGGAGTTGGGCTTCAAAGCTATTAAGCCTGTGAATCAACAAATCTGACCTCTATTGCTTGCTTTGGTTGTGGACTTCATTCTCTCTTTAGATTAACAACTAGAAAGTGGATCAATATCAGTATGCAATTTCTGGTTGTTCCCGTGTTGGTTTTTGTGAGATAACTTAGGTTGTATGCGAGCTCATGGTAGATGGTCATTTTTGGGGTGATGCAGAATTGAGCCAATCCATGATTTGTGGCACCCTTACTTGGCACGGTTTGATTGTGTTAATTAGTCTCTAAACTCGCAATATTCCGTTACCTGATCAGTTGCCTAATATTCAGTCACATTACCTGAGATTTTAATAGCCGGTTAGGACACTGTTTTGTTGACTCCTGCATTTTGTGCTATCAGATTTTATTGTCTATTGGTTAGGCATTTCACTGATAGGAAGAATGAGTATAGTTTTGATACCCTTTTTAGTTTCTAAAATCAGAATATGGTGCTTTTAAGTTGGACTCAATTGGAACCCAATTGCTATGAATGCAGGGAAGGGATGAAGGGTCTTTATTTTTTTCAAATGATCGAGTACACATGCTATCGGATCCCTTACAAAAGATAACCACCTTAAAATTGTTTATATAGTTTTAGAATTTGTGCCCCCTAAACTCGTCATTCAGCACTTGGCGACTTGCCAGGAAAAAAACTTGTCATTCAGCAAGCTCTTTGTACCGAGTATAAGTGAACAATTCTCTGCATGAAAACAGCTAGAATGCATGATTTCATATATTCAAGTTACACATGTTGGTAATTATTTTTGTTGGGTTCCTTTGTTGTAGGTCGCGGCCGTGGTAGGGGAAATCGTGGGAGGGGTCGTGGGTTCAGATCCAATGGGCCGATCCATGCAGCTGCTGTTGGTGCTTAGCTGCTTTCTACCTTGAAATCATTGAGGAGCTTATGTTTTATCACATATTGGATGCCTGCTCCATTTCTATGTCTATTTTTATTTCTTTCGTCTTAGTATTAACTGTAGGCCGTAGATCTGTAACCCATTATAGACTAATTTTAGAGGTTCGAGTCTGCGACCCTTAAATGGTGTCCTTTTTTGTATTTGTTTCCTTTTTACATGTGTACCTTCTTTATTCGTTTTGTAGAAGTAGGTCTGATGCTTGATCTAGTGTAACCTGTTCAGTGAGCAGCACATTCATTTATTTATTTGTGTTTGGAAATCCTTTGGTGTCAAACTCATGCAATACTTCATCTTTGGACAATAAATTACTTGTTAGTATCTTTCTAAATAACCATCCTGTCATCTTCATATGCATGTGTGTGTTATTTTTCCCTGAAGTGCAGGCAAGGGCCACCTTCGGAGATCTAGGACATTGGTCTAGTGGGGTGCTGGGATAGCGGTTCTTACTCGCTACATCTTCAGGACACAGGTACGCATAAAGTAGTCGTGCTGTGGTGGGCATTTGACGTAGTCAATAGTCAGGAAAATTCGCACATGTTGGTTTATCGGTTAGAAAAAGGGGCATGATGTAAATTTACACATCTTTAGTTTGATATTCCTTGAAACATACTTGTTTAAGAACAATATTGAGTCATTCAACCATACTCGTTTCTTATCTGTAACCAGTGGGTTTTTTAATTAGGTGCTCATCATTTCAATCATTGTCCTTTAATATCATCTACATGAAATTAGGTGTGTTAAGCATGGTTGTTCTTGTAGCAAATGGTGCTCATTGATTGATTGTGGTTTTGGTTTTTTTTTTTTTTTTTTGGGTCACTATTGGAAACTGTTATAGGGGAGGGACTGGTGAGGTTCGAACTCACGACTTAATGGTCCAACAGTAGGCTGTACAGGCCATTAGACTACTCGTTGATCCTTTTGGTTTTCCTTTCATATCCATGGACTTTCAATAAGTTTATTTGTGGCTTTGTAGTTTGTATGGTTAAAAAAAAAAAGGAAATAAAATTCAAGTACCTGTTTTCATGGGCTAATCAACTATTTTTGTTTTACCATTGGCGATCAAAAACCTCTCTATAGGTGGGAGTACTCAATCCACTGTATTATTCATAATGCCCCACTAGAATTAGGCTCTGTTGTGTATTGGTGGAGTTGATCCACTCAAAATACACGTGGTGTGGTGTTAGACTGACCAAAAATTTGGCCCAAATGAGTCTTACCTAACAAAGGGCCCAATGCTATTTGATTGGGGTAGAAAGTTTGCCACAACATTGAACCTATCAATTTTGTCCATAATTTTAGTCAATTCATTATTTCAGTTTAGAATAGAATTCAACTAGGGATGGGATTTCTTGTGGACAAATCAAACAACTCGTCTAAATTTGAAAATTTGACAAAGGCAAAACAAGATTTGACAAGGAATAGCTCGTCATTTCAGAACCGTTTTCATAAGTATGTCATTGACTAAAATGACTGAAAAACTCTTAGAGAATTGGAATGAGAACATAACAAGACCAAAATGAGTCATCTTTATTCGAACTAGAGGTCGAAGGGATTTCGGACTCATAGGTGTATGAGTCAATCTAGTGTCTCGTTGTCCGAGGAATCAGTTACAATAGAGCCAAAAGAAGCTATCGTGATGAATTGTTACAAAATGTGCTTTTTTTTGAAAAGCATGAGCAATTTTTTGTTTTTTTGCCTGAATTTTAAGTCGGGAAACTTATTCAGTTATTGCACAAAGAAAAACCTCAACCCAAGAACAAGATTATGGGTGTCAAAATATGATATGATCTATCAACACAATATGAATACGATATAAAATTAGAAGGTTTGAGTCTTCATTAAGTCATTCGTTTCATAAATAAAAGAAAAAAATAAATCCAAGTTGTCTGTTTCGTAAACAAGTGAACCCTATACGATACAATTAATAAATGAATTCCGTATGAATGAAGCCAATAAAAAAATAAATGACACATTGAGAATTCTAAGGTTACATTGCATCTATTTTATAATATTGATGGTACAATTTGAGAATTTAATTCTTTAAGGGTATAAATTAAGAATTAGAGCATCTTTCAGGGTACAACATAAAATTAACCCAATTATATTGGTAGCTACATGCAATAAAAGTACAAGAAAACCCTCCCCATATTTAGAACTAAGGATCATTTTCAGTAATAATTTGACATTGAACAAATTTTTTCTCTATGCACATTTGGAGTGTTGAAAAAAAATTGCATCAAATTTTAGTTAGAATCTTCCCTAAAAATTGCACTTTCTTCCCCTACATAAAATTCTTTCCAACTTAAAAATTGAGTAATGTTACGCATCCTAGGAGGTAATATCGGTGAATCTTATTAGAAAAAGTTGATAGAACTCGTCAATTCAACCATTTAAATTATTTTGAGATGTAAAATTTGGAGGTAAATTAAGGGCTAAGTTTTATAAACTGTATGAGATAATTCCTGCAATAGTTTGAGACAACGATCTTCAAGCTGGCAAACCTGAAACAATATAGTCAGAAAAAAAGGGGGCAGCTTATTCTCTCCGAAGCTTAAGTCAGTATAAGGTCGAAGGGTTTCGCTCAATGGACTATTTTTTTGATTCAAGTTTGCGTACCTTTCTCCATTTTTCTGAGGAATATTTATACTTGAATTAACAATGATTGTCAAAGATTTTCAGTCCCATCTGGACATCTTAAATCTGACACACTATTCCTTGTGCAATGAGTGTTTTCTACTCACGTCTCCTCCTATTAAATGCTAGAAAAATGGGATAAATGTTCAGCCAAATGCCGAGAGTATTTATGCCCCTCCCCCGAGTACCCAAATTTCCCAGATCGGCATCTGGCATCAACTGAGCATTGAATACTTGGGGGGAACAGTTCCTCGGGGGGAGCCGATCGCGTCATCTCGGCGCATCAGCCATTAATGCTTAGCTATCGTAACAGTAGGCCTAGACTCCCAGAGGGCAAATGCTGGCAGACGCGCATTTATTTGCCTTATCACTATCACTCATTTTGCCATAAATGAGGGGTCACATCCCATTAAATACGATGTCAATTGTCGTACTCGACTGCTCCGTGTCACCATACCTCGGCTTACTTCCTCGGTGCCCTTTGGACATCCCAACGACTTCATTATTCCACGTGTCAACCAGGGGGCTGTAGAGCCACTTAGAGTCCCATCAACTGTCCCCCAGCCACCATCCTTTTCGCAGTGTAAGACAAGTGGCATAAAGAAATTGGGGGCTCAATCATCACGCCTTATTAATAGTGACGGTTACTTGCACGTCTAGTGTCGCCCTTTTCAAATGCCTTAATGATAACTCAACTTTTCGATTCTCACTCCTTGTAAGGCAGTATAAATAGAAGATTTTCATACCTTTTCAGAACTTTTGCATCCTCAGCCTCTCTTCAGCAATCAGACCCCGAGTGCTCCTCTGTTCTCCTCTGAGTTTCCTTCGTCCTCCGAGCTATCTTTTTGAAGACCACCTTCTTGTAAGTACTTCTACTTGAGCTTTTTCTCTTTATTTCCTCTACATTTCGTCCTTTTAACGCCCACCAATGGCTAGAACTAGTAGAACCAGGGGGAGACATTTGTTAGGGCTAGGACTACCCATAAGATGAGGAGAACCCAAGTGACTGATAAGAATATCCAAGCTTTTAGGGTTAGGTACCACATCCGTGAGCCTGTCTTCGCTTTTCCCTTTAACCCCACTCACCATAGGAGAGATATGAGAAATGTGGACATGATGCCTTTCTGGGCGAAGGCCATCATGGAGGGAGGGTTGACCTCCCCCTCCATCCCCTGTTGTTGGGAGTGTTGATGCAAGTGAAGCTATTTCCCCTTTAATGTGGGGTTAACTTCGTTTGGATTGTGATGAGCGTAATTGCCTTAAATGCTCGGCTGAGGACCAATTTAGGAATAGATGAAATTTTTTTTTGTTACGACTTGAGGCTAGTCGCCGAGGGGCGATATTACTTCTAGGCTTGAGACGCCTCAATGTATCTAGTAACTCACATGCCCGACTCGAACAAGGGGTATGTAGATGATCTAATCATGCTCGGCGAAAGTTGGGATAAAGGGACTGGGCCTGAGTATGACGGATTGTACTCCCCCAAAGTACAGAGGGATGAGGTGTGTTTTCTTCCTGACTTCTTAATTTTGCTATTCTTGGGTCCAAGTGATGCACTGATTTTACTTTGTTTTTGCAGAAGGATATCGCCGGGACGCTACTTAACCCTTGAGGTTCCAAGTCCGGTTTGCTGACCTGCTAAGGGTTTGGTCCTTGGACCCAGTTGAGTGAGTGACACATACTCTCCTCGGCTATACGCCGACTTACAGTCGATTCTCCTACATCTCACCTCTTTTCAACCCTTCTGTTTGGGAAGACCATTCCTCATCGACTGAGGAAGAATCCAAGGGAGATTCCAAAGAACAGTTTGATCATCCCACTCTCGAGCCCCTTGCTCCTGAAATGTTTAATCTGCTACCAGTCACCGCTGCTACAATAGAGGTCGCCGCTGCGGCAAGGAGAACCAAGCTCACCGGATTGGCCAGGCCTTCCAACACTACCCTCATCATCCCCCTGTCTAGTTTTCCTCGGAGGCAATCGTCCCCGTCGTCGCCACGTTCGCAACCATCCAGGGACTCGGCCGTGCGGACCAAGCAAAGGCCCTAATCTCAACAAGTCCCTGTTCCGAGAGATCGGCTGAGGGACCTGAGGAGCATAGTGTGAAGCAGCGGCATGACGCCCCGGGCCCGTCAGTCTCGAACGAGTGGGTTCCTTAGGCCGAGACTAGGAGCGGTAACCCTGTTTTGAAAGCCGACTCCATCCTCCAGTCCCCCGAAGTGGCGTTTGCCATCGCAGAGACGTTTCAATTTGATGCCGATATGGCCGTATACAAAAGCTATTTGGACAATCGAATTTTGATGAGTACTATCCAAAACAATCTGGTGGTAAGTTTAACACTTTCCCGAGTATTCCTTGCACCCTTTTGGTCGTTTCCTAATATTCCTCCTTTTTCAGGCCAGCCAGCAGGTGGGGACCATAATTGAGCATTTTTGGGAATATAAACAAGAGGCGAAGAACGCCGAGCGAACCCTAGCTCCTAAGGACGACCATATTCTTAAGGTCGAGAGGACCCTCGACGACCAGACCAAGAACATCGCCGAGCTCATCCGCCATCGAGATGTCGTTTATGCCGAGCTGGAAAAGACTAAGGCGAGTGAAGCTGCAATGATAAAGAAGGCCAAAGAGTATGAGCTGTAAGTGTCCTCCTTCGAAGTCAAGCTGCAAGAGTTCGAGTCTGTAATCAACGA